ATTTACGGTAAGTTAAACGATAAATATCATCATTATTATTATTATTATTATTACTTGGTCTAATTTGTTTTCTGTTTTTATATTTGCAGTTCGATCGTAACAGTTCGATAAGGTACAGTTCACGTAGAGCAAGAACTTTAGAATCGTTGGCTTCCATATACGAAGTAAGTTTTGTCATCGTTAATTAATCATTTCCACGTGTTAATTAACATATAAATGATTTACCGCCATTTTCTTTTTTTTTTTTTTTATAGGAGGATGATTTGAAGAAAACGTTAGAAGAAAGTAGTTGCATGCAGCGAACATACGATAAATATATCGATTTAACGATCGTCAATGAAGATTTCGACGTGACTTTTCGTAAAATTATCGAAGCGTTGGATAAAATGAGTACCGAACATCAATGGGTACCCGTTAATTGGGTTTATTAAAAAAAAAAATTAAAGGGGCGGGGGAGGAAAAAAAAAGTACAAATCATCATTTACAAAATGTTAAAACGAGAGGTGGAAAGGGGGAAGAGAGAAGAGAGAAGGAGGGAAAAGAAAATCTGAAATTTATTACAAATTTCATTTTTTTCCCCGCCCCCTCGTCCTCCTCTCCACCACTCGGCCTGTTTTAATTAATTTTTTTTTTTTGTTGCAAAAATTTTCCAGAAAAAAAATTCTAAATGTGTGTGTACATATTTACCGACATATATATATATATATATATATATATATATATATATATATATATATTTATATGATAATGATAATAATAATAATGATAATTAGTAACGCAGGTGTAATTAGGTTTTTTATAATAATAATAATAATAATAGCGATGTTAGTCACGATACTTTCTAAAGAAAGTTTTTTAATTTTTAACAAACAAAACTGCCGTCCATTTTAAAAAAAAGTAATATTTAACGTTAGAAATAATTAATTATATTTAAAATATATATATATATATATATATATATATATATATATTTATATTATGTATATTTCAATTATTATTATTATTATTATTATCATTAATTAATTTATAACTTTAAAATGTTTTTTTTTATATATAAAAAATTTAAAATTTAATTTTATAAAAAAATTGTGGCAATATATATATATATTTTATTATAATTAAACTTATTATTATTATTTTTTTTTTGTTTTCCTTCGACCTTCGAATTTTAACGTTCGCTTTAAAAAAAAATGGCCCCATACATTTAAAAAAATTTTGCGATTAAAAGTATTTAAAATTTTCCGCGGAAATTTTTTGCTTGTTTACATTTTAAGCAGGTAAACATTGTTTGTTTATATTTTTGTTTACATTTTTCTGACCTTGGATTCAAGGTTTTTTGAAATTTTTTCTGAAAAATTAAATTTTTACGAAAATCTTTGTTTGTTTACATTTTTGTTTACATTTTAAGGAGGTAAACATTGTTTGTTTATATTTTTGTTTACGTTTTTATACGTCCTTGGATTTTATGTTTTTCTGATACATCAGAGAAAATTTTTTGATGTTTTTAGTGAAGAATGACCTTTGTAGGCGGGAATTTTCATGATTAGGAGTGAAAATAATAATAATATCAATTATAATATTAATAAAACAATAATTTATTTAAACAATAAAATTTTCTTTACAAATATAATACAATATACATTTATATAAAATTTTTTTTTGTTTTTTAAATATGCGTAAAATAATTATAATAATAAAAAACAAAATTCATTTGGTTACAGTAATAATAATAATAAGTATTTGGGTGTCGCACAATTAATAAATACACAAACAATATAAAAAAAAATCATTATTATTATTTTGTCAAGTCATCATTGTAATAAAGCTGAATGGCAGGAATGTAACAATTTTCCGGCATGCCCAATTCTCCGAATTTACGTCTTTCGTCGTAAATTTCATTTTCTTCCAGAGTTTTCCTCATGTTCAATTTTTCACCTTCGAATTTAAACGTGTAACTTTTTATGTGTGAATTCCTTGGCAAAAGTCTTTCGAGAATTTGATAAAGATTTTCTTCTGCTGCCACCTTTCCAGATGTGCGAGAGAGAGAGAGAGAAAAAAAAACAGTTTCGTTAAATATTAAAAGAGTTGTTCAATTTTCTTTTTTATTGTATGTAATTAATTTACTTACCCACGCCAAACTGTTCCTGTGGGATTCTGGAACAGCCGTGTTTACGATTTTCAATGGCCTAGGATTTTTCGATAGTAATCCCACGACGTATTTTTTATTCCGCCACCAGGGCAAACCATCGTAGGGCCTTTTCACACCCGGCAAAGGTTGCCATTTCGTCGATGGTACTTGTGGATGAACGTGAGGAATGGGACCGTGAGGGCAGTAAGGCACTTTGACACCCGTCACTGGATGAATCATATATTTTATCTTGAAAAAAAAAAAAAAATAATAGTTTTCGTTAATTAATTAATCGGATTCGAACGTTGTTCTTTCGCGGTTGAGAGACTCGACTCACGTCTTGAGTCCTTTTATCGAACCAATGGGATATATCTTTTCCGGCATGAGCCAAAAGAGGTTTGACTTCTTTTTCGTTTTCGTATTCTTTTACTATCGGAGTGACGTCACAGACTTTACCCAAAAAACTCACCCAACAATCTTCGGGTTTGTTGTGAAGGATGACATCGGTCGGAAGGTAATAACGAAGTCCGAATTCGTTTCTTTCTACTTCTTTTTCCCCTTCATCTTTTTTCTTTTCGTTCTTTTGTTCCTTTTCCATTTAAATAATTTTCATACACTTGTTTTGTTTTCTTTTCTTTTTTTACTCTCTCAATTATTATTATTATTATTATTATTATTTATGAAAACGCTATAAATATTTTTTTCAATTTTTTTTTTTTTTTCAACATGGGCGACGACGATTCGCGATAAAAAAATATAATGATTTTTAAAAATGAATAACAAATATATTTACACCTATTATTATTATTATTTCTTATTATTATTATTATTATTATTAGTATTTAATAATTCACGATTAAATGCGATGTGATTTGGAGGGGGGGAAAAAAAAAAAACTTTTTTATTAAAGATATTATCGAACGTTATGGTTTCTGCTATTTAATAAGTAAACAAAACAAACAACAACAATAACAATAATAATAACAACAACAACAACAACAACAACAACTACAGAGACAAATAAACATGAATAGGACGGCAAAAATCCTTCGGAAATGTTCCGATTCGAAGGATTCATCATTTGAAATTCTTTTGAAAAAAAAGATTTCGGGTAAAGTAAAACCGTTAAGGAAACCGCATTTGAATGATTATTTAAATATTTCTTATTCTCTCGCGAGAAGCGTTCGCTACGAACAGTTTCTCGTCGCTTTAGGAGTTCAACACAAAGTCATTAAGGAAACTGTCAAAATACGGCCGACGGTGACTCTGTCGGAAGAAAAGAACGACGGCGTTGAAGTAAGGACGAACGAAAACAATGGGAACGATGACGACCGCGGTGGCGGTGGCGGCGGCGGCGTCGACGACGACGACTATCGCTACGTTCTCACGACGACATATCACAATTTGCCGACGCAAATATTGAAATTCAAAGAGGGAGAAGTTTACAGGGAAAGATCGGGGGGCGAAAGAATAAAATCCGATTTCAAGATAAGAGGTAACAGAGTCATCGAGAAACAAAATCTCAACGGGAAACAAGTCATCATCGAAAGGAAATTCGGGGAAAACGATTTGGTCGTGACGATGAAAACGTCAAAGGTTGAATGTCAAAGGTTTTACGTTTCCGTTTTCGAGTCGAAACACACGATCAACACGGAAACGTCACGGAGACAATCGTTTACGAGACAACACGATTCGGCCGCGCTCACGGAAATCCTTCCGGAAGAAACCCTCGTCGAAGAGATCAAAATGGAGGAAATCGACAGCGAAGAAATTTGCTATTGAAGTATTTGCCATTGTTCCTTCCTTCCACTCCACCCCATCTGCTCACCCTACTCCCTCCTCCCTCTTCCCTCCCCTTTTATTCAAAGGAAAAGTGATATAAACTCACCGGACGTGCGTGCGCACGTTGACTTATCAATGATTTCCCTTCGATGGAATTTTTTCTAGAAAATCTTTAAGTATTATTTTTTCAACGGCTTCCATGTCCACGTTCGAGGATTGAGTGCGCAAACCCACGGTCGCAAAAAACGAATGAAGTTGTTGTAGGGAATCTATGTAGCCATCTTCCAAAAGTAAACGTCCCTCTTTACCCTCCAGACTTCCCTTCAGGGGCCCGTACTGAAATTTTATTACATTTTAGCAGATGAAAATTTTCTTTTTTTTTTTTTTTTTTTAACAAAATAAAAGAACGAATCGACAAAATCCTCACCTTTGCATCCATCAATCGGCAAATTCTCATGACGTGTGGTATGAAATCGAGACCGTTTGCACGTTCCACGTCGTTTGTCGAATTTTCCATCGGTGACCCGTTTGTACACGATGGTGACGACGAGACGACGTCGGAAACGAAAGCCCAACGATACCTGCAAAGTAACAACAACAAAAATCAACATTATCCGGAAGAAGAAGTAGAAGAAGAAGATGGAATCGAATCAATTTTTTAAATAATGTTTTTTTTTACATTTGAAATTGCGGAAGGTGATGAGTCGGCAACAGGACGGCCAAATCCAATAATTTAGAAGCTGCGAGTATTAATTGCAACCAATGAGGATGTCCGTGAGCGTGAAGACCGTTGTTACTGTTGGAAACCCATGAAGAATCCAGTGCAGACATTAATTTTATGTGCGAACTGAAATTTTCACGTTACCAAAAAAAAAAAAAAAAAAAAAAACATTTTTTAAAAACAAACTCCATATTTATTTTTGTAATTTTCACCAGCGTGATTAGTGTAAAAAAAAAAAAAAAAGCATGTTAGAATAAATTTTAAATAAAATAAAAATAACGAACACGATTTAAATAAATTTTTTTTTTTTAACTTACCTCGATCTAAAATCCGTTAATTAATTTATTTATTTATTTATTTAGTTATCCAAAATAAGCCACCGCCCCCAAAACAAAAAAAAAAAAAAACAATTAAACGTCTTGCACGCAATAAAAAAACAAAATTTAATATATATACTTTTTCCAAAAAGTTAATTAAATTCTCTCTCTCTCTCTCAAAAAAAAATGTTATCATTATCATTACTATTATTATTATTATTATTATTTCCGTTTATTCTTTTACAATGTTAATAATAATAATAATAATGATAATAAAAGCACAGTGCGTTACCAAAAAACCTTCCCATCCGCACCTCTCTCTCTCTCTCTCTCTCTCTTTTATGAATTGAAATTTTTTTTATTCGTTTTCCACACCTGAATTCTTCCGAATGAGTGCACAATTCCTGTTCGACTAGAGTAAAAACTTGCACCATTTCGCTTATGACCATGGGCCAAAGGGAAATAACGTTGTGCGACGACATTCTAAGGAGTAAAATTCGAAAACACAAAAATACCTGAGCTTGAACGGATGGAACGACTTGGGGAAGCCGAAGAATTTCCGATAATTTTTCTAAACGTTTTCGAATGGAAAAAAAAAAAAAAAGAAAAGAAAATTACGTCATCACGATCGACCGTTTTTCTCAAATCCTTTTTCCACAGACACACACAAAAAAAAAACTCACCTTGAATATTTGGCATGAATTTGTGGTATTGATCGGCTTCGCTGCAAAATATCACGAATGCTAAACGTTTCAATAATTGAGATCTTTGCTCGTATTCTTGTTCTCGAGATGAAAACAAAGTGTACGATCCTCCCTGAGACATTGAAATTTTATCTAAAAAAAAAATAAATACGGAAAAGCGTGAAAAGCGTGTGTGTGTGAGGGGGGGGGGAAATTCTCCCGTTCGATTATTTTATCAGTAACGTACTCATTAAATCTCTAAAACTTGTAATATCGTGAGTCATTAGATTATCGATGATTATCGTCCAATACGATAAACATTCCAAATTCATTTGAAACAAGGATGATTCCAGTAGGAGTTCGAAAACTTCTCGCTTCCATGCTTTTCGCGTGTATTGAAATCCGCTAATGTTCGAAAGGAGTTGAGAACACGCGGCGAAACTTGGTAGATTTTTAGGTCTGAAAATAACAAGACGAAAAAAAAAAAATAAATATTGATGTGATGTGAAAAACGAAAAAGAAAATAATATTTAAAAAAAAAAAAAAAGAAAAGAAAACTCACAAGTGACTTTTTAAATATGGCGTTATGTTATACATAAGATTCGTTAGAAGAGCCGCGACTTTGTCTTTTTCCTGACTCCCGTAACTCACATCGAGTAGCGGAGCTAAAATTTGAGCTAAAACTAATTGTGCTTGAACGCTGTGTTGTTGAGCAACCGACATTGAACCTGCAAAAAAAAAAAAAAAATTACTTCACTCAAACGCGAGAGAGAGAGAGAGAGAGAGAGAGAGAGAGAGAAAAACAAAGACAAACAAATTTTTAACCTTCGTTTTCTTCTTCGGTCACTTCCAAATCTTCTTTCACGGCTAAATTTCTTCTAAGCCAAGTCTTATGTTCGAGACACGCTCCGGCCACGTTTCCACAAACTTCAATCAACTGAAATCACCGATGATGATGATGATAATAATATTTAAAAAAAAATCAACCACATAAATCAAGTAAATCTCTCTCACCTTTGCAGCAACATCTTGTAAATCTCTTTGATTTTTTTTCTCATCGAACGGCGGACATTTTTGTACGAATTCATTTAAAATGGCCAACATGAGAAACAGTGCAGGAGGAGCGAGTAAAATTCCATCCCTCAACAAAGACAACAGCGAATTCCAACTTTCTCCCAACTGAGAACTGCTACTGATTTGCATGTAAGTATAAAATAATTCTAAAACGCTTACGTCGAGTGAAACGATCTGAAAATCAAAAAGGGAAAAAAAAATTTAAAAACGTTCATTTATTTTTAAAAAAAGAAAATTTTTTTTTTTGTAATTACCGAAGAAGTTCCCTGAATGGCCGGAGGTTGCTTGACGACGGATTGAACCGTTTGAACGAGAGTATCCATCGGTGTTACTTTTATTGCACTTAATAAATTGACTAATACCATTTGATTTGGACTTGCTACGGGTAGTACCTTTTTCCCTTGATCCCCGCCTCTTCTTTCTTCCCACGTCACCGCGACGGCGGCAACAAATATAGCACCGTGATGAAGTGATATCGGACTTAAAAATCCCAATATTTGATTTTTGACGACTTTCGGATTGCCCCAAACGCACAATTCTAAATCGCAATCAATGCATTCGGTGACTGCTTGCCACAGAGCAGCCACGCTCGATATTATTCTCGGCATATTAGCGAGAAGATTCCTTCTCACGCTCGCCAACGTTTCCATTTGTTGTTGATTCCTTCCCTTTCCCGATTCCTAAAATTTAAAATTATTTTAAAATAAAATTATTTTTTTTTCTCTCTCTCTCTCGCAACAAGTGGATCGGGGAAAAAAAATCCCCCTTTCGAATAAATAATAATAATAATAATTATTTATAAATTTTTTTATGACATATCATCAACAACAAACAACATTCCATCACAAAAAAAAAATTCAAACAAAAACGGATTCGATTTGTAACAATGTCGAATGTAAAAGAATGATCGATTTCTTCTATCTTGTCGTAAATAAATGGTACCTCGAAATAATGAAATGAATGCTAAACGTGCTACAACAACAAACACCAAACCCTGCCTGGATGAAAGAGACTCGGATTTGAATCTCGTCATACCTAGTTTGCTCCACAAGAAACACAGAGTTGTCAAATTGATTAGATCCCAACTTAAACAAATTCACGAAGAAGGCTTTATAAATAATCTTGGCAACGAGTAACTACTACCACTACTACCCTTCTTTAATTAGATGAGGCAATCTGAAAAGGTACCGTTTAAAAATAAACATTTGTTTTTCTCTTCTTTCCATGTGATCAAGTGAAACGACAGCGTCACCAAACAACCAATTCCGACAAACGATTTTCGATAAAAATGAAATGGTGGAAAACACGACGGATATTGACAATTCGTCAAGAAGTCATTCAAGAAGCAAATCCATTTGTTACTGTCTTCCGCTTTTCTTACTACTAATAATATTTTTAATTTTTCTCATGGTGTGGATTTCGGCCGGACCTTTAAGCAATGTCATTTTTCACACTCCCATTCCTCCCAGTGCATTTATAAGAACCGATGCGATTTGCGGTTTCGAAAAGAAATACCTTTTAAGATGGAGCAAATCAGAGTACTACGATTAGATTCTTTTCTATTTTTTTTCTCTCTCTCTCTCTCTCTCTCTTTTTTTTTCTTTTTTTATACAAAAATAAACTGTTCCCTCTTCTCTCCTCCTCCTCCTTCTCGATTCTGATAATTATTATTATCATCTTACCTGAACAAGCGAACTTGACGTGAATACGTGAACTAGGTTACTTAATATCTGCGCAGGATTTGACCCGGGTATTCCCGAAGGACTCGAACCGATGAGCGGTGATAATGGTTGCGGCGATACTTGTTGGTTCGAATCCAAAATGCAAAAGTGACAGAGCACGGTTAAAGCTTCCAGTTGAGTCACGGCGTAACCGGGAGGAAAATTTTCATCCTTTTCACTTATAAATAATCATAATAATAATAATAAATATTCAACTTCGCTTGCTTTTGTAAATTTATATATATATTATTTTTTTAGTCTTTTTTTTTATATTTTTTTTTTAAATAAAAATTTTAATGATAATTTTACCTTTTTCGATTTGAATAAAAACCAGCTAGTTCTTCAATGTTACTACAAATTTGATTAACAGTCACCATGACAATGTGAGGTAAAGCTGTGCCTAAATACGGAAGAGACGATGTTATCAATTCGGTCCAGTTGTAGTGGAGCCATCGCATTTTACCCTATTTATTAATTTTTTCTTTTTTTTAATCTATACGTACACGTATGAAATCAACAAAGCATATCATCGAGCACACACGCGCACGCACACACGCACACACGCGCGCACGCACACACGCGGCGCTGGAACGCGAATATGTATAAAGTCGTTAAAAAAGGACAAATTTTGACTTACTTTCAAAGACAAAGCCGTGAGTACGCATTTTATAAACATGGGTTGATTCGAAATTGAAGAGTCCGGCGAGTATTTCGATTCCAATTCCGTGTTTTCTACGGAATTACCCTTGGAATTCACGCCATCGACGTTATCAGTCTTTTGACATTCGATTTGCTGTTCCAACATGACCAGAGCCTGCAAAACCTTCAACAATTGTATTTGAAAAGCGGAAGCGTGTTCGGTCATTCCCGCGACACCTTCTCCGCTCTCATCGGGATCATTGAAATCTAATATTTCTTCGGTGAAAGATTTTTGTTCCATGAAATAATTTTGCTGTCGGTGAATGCTCAACAGACTCGACATAATGCAGTACAAAACCGTTCTTTGAACTTTTCCGCGATTTAAAACGTCCGCAATGTAATTGGCAAATCCTTTTCCACTGTCCCGAACAATGGGTATGAGTTTATTGCAAATGTGCATTAAAATTTCAACGCTCATGAGTTGAACCTAAAACAGGTTTGTTTTTTTTTTAATTGTAAACAAATACGAAAACATTTAAAATTCTCTCTCTGTTTTTTTTTTTTTTTTTTACCTGTCGATTTCCGGCTATTTCTTCCGCGGTCAATTTCAAAATTCCTAAATTCGGATAATAACTCCTGACAAAATTCAGGCATAGGGTAACTAAAATTTCCAAATACATGTTAGATCTATAAATGTTCATGTACTCGTTTAAAGATTTTGTGCCACCGTGAAAATTCCTTCCGAATATCGATTTTTTATGCCTTGCAAGGAGAGCCAATAGATCGGACGGAAAAGGCGCATTCACAATTCCTAAAATAAATCAATGAAACCTTGATAATCCAGAAAAAAAAAAAAAAAACCCGAATTCGGCAAAGAGAAAACGCGAGTCTTTCAACGTACCTGAAGATGCCGAACAGCATAAAAACAGTCTTGAATTCGTCAAAATGATATTTTTAAGAGTATTTAAAGCGTATAACGTCCTGCAAGAATCGTAAACTCCGCAATAAAGCAAAATGTGAGAGTGATAAGGATGGACAGCGACTCCAGGTTTCGTATATTTGGCTGAGGGAAGTTCGTTATCATCCGATGTTTTCACGACGGTGTCCACGATCGAATTCAATACACTCGAAACGATTTCGAAACTTGTCTCACTGTTAACATCATCTTCTTTTTCGTTTTTGTTAAAATACTCGTTGGCCGAATGAGAATCGTCGCATTCTCCCTGCATGAAATCCATCAATTTGTTTTTCAGATGACCGAAAAACCTCAAATCGCTCGTTGGAGTTTCGGACGTTGTCGTGACTTCCAGAGTGACTCTCGGTTGGCGGGCTAATATTTCGGCATCCCCTTCCGGATCCGAATTGGATGATTTTAACGAGTCGTAGGGTGGCAAGCTGCTCTGCACGGAAGAATCATCTCCGATAAAGTCGTAATCCGAGAATCCTCGTGATAACGGATTGACCAAAACTGATATGTTTCCATCGTACGTCGAAGGTAATTCGATATCTCTTTGGGTATTTTTTTTAGTCACGAAACTCGATCTGCTGTCGCCGCGATCCTTGAGACTCGTCACGGCAAATATTCTTTGCTGATTGTTAGATGGGATCTTTGAATTTTTTTTCCACCTCCATTTTAATTTTTTTGATAGCATATCTAAACAAAAAGAAAATTATGAATGAAAATTGCGCGCACTAACACATAAGAAAAATTTAAAATAATTTTCCTCGACCTTTTTCATTTAAAGTATTCGAAACGTGATATATGACGTTTCCATCAACCGAACTTATCGCGTATATTTTACTGTAATTTTCATCGACTTGAGAATTTTCTTCCTGAGTCTCGGATCCCACGTTCGAATGTTGAATGCTCACGTGAAGAATGCTCATTCTCGCAGTTGCAGGATCCAATAACATTAACAAAACGGGATCCAACAATCGGGGCAAATCCCCTTTTATCAGAGACTGAACCAAACAAGTTTGAGTTTCCACTTTAAGAGGCACGTTCTCGGGCAAAAGTAAATTATCCAACACTTTCAAAAGACATTTGTGAAATAGTTTGTTTTGACGTTTATCTTTCAATGTAATTTCACGGCCGACGTGCCAGAGTTTGATGAACCTGTGAAGTGCTTCGACTCGACCGCTTTCCGAACCGTTGAGCAAAGCTTCGCCCAAAACGCGTTCGAGAGAGTCATCCGAGTGAAAGAAGGAATGAAGTTGATACAAGAGTTCGATGCAACGAACTTGTAAATCGTACGGTAAATCACCCAAATGTTTCCAAAGTATTTTCGACAAAATCTGAAAGTTTAAATTGAAAATTTTGACATTGAGCGTAAATTAAAATTTGGTAAACGGGCTATGAAAATGGTATACCAACCTCAAGAACATAAGTACTTTGCTCCAAGTAATCAACTTGATAAGGATTTATCAGGGCGAGTACCCCGATTTCCGACGACGATAATTTTAAAAGCGTTACTAAATCGAACAAGGTTTTTATTGCCGTAAGCTGAAGAACTGGAGTTTTATCCAGCTTGCACGCGCAAATGATAACGAATTTGACGCAGGGAGAAAAAACAACATTTTCTTTGTCACTGCCGGCGTTCATCATTGGAAAAGATGACAATTCGACCAATATTTCCGATGCGATTTTAAATGGTTCTTCCCATTTCTCATTACCATCCGCTGCGATTTCCAAAGTCAAATTTTCTTCTTCGGGACTGTTTTTCCACGATGTGAACTCGTTCGACGAAAAATCCTCGTTCATGACGGCTGTCAAAAGTTTTTTCAACTTTTTCGCATAATCTTTTTCACTTTCACCATCCGGATTTCTTTTTAAATTTTCAAACGCGCACGTCACGAACTGACCGTGTAATATTCTTCCTCCGCTCAGGAGCGTCGTGTAAAAAATCTCGTAGTTGGATAAAAAATTTTTAAAAATGGACGAAAATTTCATTATTTCTGCCGACACGACGGATTTCGTTTCGTCCGAATACACTCTAACTTTGGGTAAATCTTCATTTTCCGATTTTTCGTTTCCGACTCTGGAACGAATGACCCCCGCATTGATGAGTTCCGTGGGGGGTTTTTTAATTTCCGATTTATTTAAAACTTTTTCTATCTCGGCGAAAATTTGAATTTTCGAAAGTATCAATGCGCACAATTTCAAACATCGGGCTATTTGTTGCGGAGAAAGCGTCGAAATGTAATTTGTCAGTTGATTGACGATGTGAAGAATTAAATTTAATAAAAATTGGCTCGAATTATCCGTTCCTCCTTCGAGAGGAACGACACCGAGGAGGAATTCGCACAACTCGCAAATTTCCCAAATGTTGGGAAATCCCGTTCCCACGGATTTCACAACGACGGAACTTTCAATTTCCAATATCGTCGTCAATTCTTCGATATTTACTTTACAAGCCTGATCGAATAGGGACCCTAAATACAACCAAACGTACCAAGGTTCGAGGGAACTGAATAGCAAATTGGCGGATTTTAATATTTCTTGTTTTGATTTGCCGCCATTGAACCTGTTGTCGTCGCGACAGGACAAATATAAAGTTCTGAAAACTTCGTATAGGATTTCATCTAGGATTACGGGTCCGACATCTTGTTTATCTAAAAGTGACATTAATAATCGATACGGACGAATATCTGGACATTGAAAATTTTGTTGCTTTAAAACTGATTTGACACCCTGTAACAGAAAAAAAGAAAGAAAAATCTTTAAGCGATATACTAATAATTTAAATGATAATAATAATAATAATAGGAATGCTCTATCTTTCAAAATCATCATAAGTATAAAATAATAAGCAATCAAAAAAAAAAAAAAAAAAATGGAGTAAAACTTTTTGTTGTTGTTTTCAAATTTTATTTAAAGACAATAATTTTTTTTCGTTATTGTTTTATTGTTTTAATATTTAATTAAATAACGATTTAAATTTTTAAAACAACAAAAACAAATTTTTTAAAAGGAAAAACATTTTTTTTTTTTGTTTTCATTTTCTATTGTTTAATCTGCACTAAAGATGTTTTTTTTCTATTTCATTTGACCTTGAAATTTTGAACCGACAGTAGTATAGTAATCGATAATGCATCATTAAAAAATTTTAAATTATTATTATTATCATTATCATTATTATTTTATTACAAAATAAATTGAATGAATTCAGGTATAACGGTTTAAAAAAAAAAAAAAAAAAAAAAAAAAAAAAAAAAAAAGAAAATTATTTGATATTTTTTATCTCGGTTAAAATTTAAAAAAATTCATAAAAACTTTTTTTCCAATCGTAGTAATAATAATAATGATGATTATTCTTCGTATTTAAAAAATGAATTTATGTGATAAAATCGTTAATGCAGCATTAAATGAATTGAATTTATCCGTATAATTGATACTAAATTAATTAATAAATCCATTTATTTCCATAGATAATTAAAATTGATTTTTCATTATTACCTATTAATTTAATTAATTTTGTTAATTATTACTACGATAATATGATTACCGGAAATGAGGAATATATTTCTCCCCCCCCCCTTTTTTTTTTTTTTACTAAACAAAACAATCAAAAGATAAAAAAACAAAACAAAAAATAGTAAAATTACAATTAAAAAAAGAAAAATGATTAAAAATAGCAAAGAGATAACATAAATAGAGCCTTTTGTTTTGTTTTGTTTTATTAATAAATAATTTAAAATTGTTTTAATAAATTAGAACGAGAAAAAAAAAAAAAAAAAAAAACTTTGAACAATGATATATAGAAATATGAGGAATGAAACAGCTGACAATATGATAACATTATCAGTAATTACATATCAAATCAAACAATAAAATTAATAAAGAAACAAAATCCAAAGTTAAAGATCAAATCAAGTTTTAAAATGAATTTCTTTTTAATAAATAAATAATTTTAATAAATTACCTCTACTAATATCTTTTTGGAATATGTATCAAAATATAAACTTGTTTGTGAAACTTCTCCAATGGTTTCTAATTTTTTTATAAATGGATGATCCATGCTTAATTGTGAAACGTTCAAATCGGAACCTAAAAGCCACGAATATAATCTTCTATTCAATGACATGTCTCTCCTGAGAACTGTTGTCACAGCACTTGTTACTAAATTTATTAAAAGTGATTCATCTAGTAAATAGGTATGTAATGGAAATCCAATCAGGAGTAAATCCAAGGAACTTCTTTGAACCAATACGTTTGAATCTTGAACTCCAGCACATAAAGCTTTAACCTAAGAGATAAAGATTTATTATTATTATGATCAAAATATCTGTCATGTTTTTAATAACTTATTAATAACTGCAATTTAAGATGTTAAACATATAAAATAATATTTTTACTTAATATTTGTAAGTAAAATAAACTAACCATAACTTCAACATTATTTCCCAAAACATATTTCTGATCTTCCATTGAATATTTCCTATTAAAATTTGAAAGGACAAATGAAATCGCTGGAAGTCTCACAGCTGAATTATTGCAAACGCATTCCCATAAACAACTATAAAAAAATTCTTTTCCAACTCCGTCGCAAACTTTATGAAGCAAAGCATTTGTCCTATCAAAATGATCAGATCCCTCTTCCAAACCGGGAAGAACACCACTTATAAATCCAGAAAGCCCAGGTCTCAAACAGGGCCCTAAAGGTACAAAATGAGTTTCGTAAATGGTAAGCAGCGATGGTTTTACATTCATGGCTGAATGTCCGAATAATGGGAAAAGACCTATAAAAAAATGTTTAAAAATTATTTTTCAGAGAAGACGATTTGAAACAATTGAAAGGAATTTTTTAGAAAATTACTTAACCTGCACTGTAAATAAATAATTCATGACTTAATCTATTCGTTCCCATACATTTGAATATAGTGTCATAAGTTTCTAAGGCTTTTAAATGAACACCAGATGGTAGAGCAAAATGAGTGCACTGAGCCAACCTTTTACTTATTTTAATTCTTCTAGGTATTATAGGATACTTTTGATTGTCTTTTAACACTTTATTTAATTTTCCTAGAGCCGAAATGAGATCGGCCCATTCGTTAGTATTTTCGAATGCTTTAAGTGCTTTATCCACTGCAGAGACATATAATCTATATTTGGCTTCTTTCATAACTTCAAATTCTTCCATTGTCACCGAACTCATTTTTTTTTGCCTTTAATTGTTAATATCACTAATAACAAACTTAATTTACACGTGAACAAGGTAAGTATCCTTTGACACTTAATAAATTAACACAGTGTTTTACTTTTATCTACGACTAATTATTAAAAAAAAAAAAAAAAAAAATGACATTTTTTTTTCTTTCATTTCGATTGACGATACCGACAAAATATAAAAATGACAATATGTTTTTTTTTAAATACGATTAAATTATAATAAATTTAAAATTAATAAAAACATAACTTAAATTATATTTAAAAAAAAAATAATAATAATAATAATAAATATTATTCTTATTCGCGCTCTTTGGTGTCGATACTTGTTAACAAAGTGACGAAAATTGTTATGTGTTTACTAATTTTTTCTGCCACGTTTTACTCGTTTGAAACAACGTGTCAGTAGAACGAAAATAGATCACTAGTTATCGTTTGTATGAATTCACTGAAAAACGTTACAATTTGACTTAAAAACCAATCATCGTCGAAATGGAACCAAGTGGATTAAGTAAAAAAGAATATTTAAAAAAATATTTATCAGGTGGAAAAAAAAAGAAAAAAGAAAAAAAGAAACCCGGTCAAAGTGTCATAACTAAGTAATTTCATTGTTTAATTATTCATTTACATTTTTCGCTATTAAACCAATTTACCTTTTCTTTTTTAGGTTATAATTAATTAAAATTATTTAAAAAAAAATTGTTTTTATTAAAATTTAAGGTATTAAATTTAGTTTGTGTAGGATTTAGTGTGTGTTTCTTGGTACCTGATTATCATTACAGAAAAATTCATTTACTATTTTTAAAGCAAGCAGTTTTTTGTTTTTTACTGTAAAATTTTTTTTTGTTTACTTGTTTGAAGGGTAATTTTAGACATTTTATTATTAATAATTCAGAATTGGAAATTTATTCAATTTGGTAACTTTTATTTTCTCTTTCCCAATAATTAAAATAAAATTTCTGTTATGAATTTAATTAATTTTTAGATTTATTAATGTAAGAATGCACACATTTTATTGTAACTAATTATAACTACCAAAAACATTTCAAATATATATATAATTCTAATTATTTTTTTTTAAAGTAATAAAATTATTTCGATTTATGGGATTAAAAAAAACAAAAGAAAACAAAATATATTTTTTAACATTATAACATGTTATCGTGTAACAATCGATCTAATTTTAAATAGTTTTTTTTTTTTTTTTTTTCTATAACAAAATTTTACATTTGCTTTTTCATTACCAATTTTTTATTTTATAATTAATGATTAGTTTTCTAAAGTTAAATAAATTCAAAATTAATTAATGATGCCACTGAATCTTAATATTTTCTATTAATAATTAAAGTTTTCTGCTTATACTGATTCAAAATGTTAATAACTGTCAAAATCGATTAGTGTAAAAAAAAATCGAAATACTTTTTTTTCTTTTTCGTTTGGTGAATAATTGAGTTTGATTAATTTGTATTTTTTTTTTGTTTTTGTTAATACTGTAAATTTAATTTATTTGGATCTATGAAAAATAGCATCTGGTGATGGGGGACCTACATATGTCTCATAATAATTTTCTGAAACATTTTGCCTTCTGTAATTTGCAAAAATAGCAATCGATTTTATTTCTAACGAAGTCGGTTTTATTTCCGAGAGTGAGGCTGGCATTCCTTCTAAAAACTTTTTCCATTTTTCAGCATATTTTTCATTTTTTAATATTGACACTTGATTCATTATTCTATTTTCATGTTCTTTCCTTCCGAAGAGTGGTAAAACATCATAAGAAAATTTTTCCGAGTTTATTGGAAAATATTTTATTCTCACTTCTCTCGGAAGGACTAGATCTTGATAACATTGTCTCTTTTTGATATCATCTTCAGATATCATTTTTACTTAAAAATTTCCATCAGTGGCACAAAAATTTGTTTTTTTAACTTTGTTGCATTCTTTTTTTTTTATATATATACACTTTTAAAAAATAAATAAAGAATGCAGAATAAAAGAACTTTACATTAAAGATTGATCAAAAAAATATTCATCAAAAATTGTTAACGACCATATTTGAACTTTAGTAATAATTTTAATGTTTTAATTACAATAAAAAGTTTTTTTTTTTTTTATTATATTTTAGATCACGGATTGTAGACGATGACATTGATATAAATAAAATAAAACCCATAGATGAAAATGAATTGGAAATTTATGATTTGGCTGAAGAAGCTCCTCAAATCGTGGGAATAATCGACGAACGACCTGAAGAAGTCAGAATTATGTCTGAATATAGAAGCACTAAAAAATGGAAAATAGTAGCTGACGAATACGGTATAGAAAATATCAAAGTGACAGCAATAGATCAAAAAAAATCAGAGAACGGATCGCCTCGTAGAGGGGAGGAGGATGAAATTAGTATGGAATCGAAAACAAACCTTAAAGAAAACCTAACTGAATCTAATAAAACATTTTTAAAGAATGAAGGAGATTATGATTCGCTTCATTCTAAAAAAACTATCATCTCAGAAAAAAACAATGGTATAAAAGAAGATCCCGATGCTTCGCCACCAAGACAAAGAACCCGAAGAGACTCTGACGCTTCGCCACCTAGACAAAGAACTCGGAGGGATTCTGATGCTTCGCCACCTAGACAAAGAACTCGAAGGGATTCTGACGCTTCACCACCAAGACAAAGAACTCGAAGGGACTCTGACGCTTCACCACCAAGACAAAGAACTCGGAGGGATTCTGATGCTTCGCCACCTAGACAAAGAACTCGAAGGGATTCTGATGCTTCGCCACCTAGACAAAGAACTCGAAGGGATTCTGACGCTTCACCACCCAGACACAGAACTCGCAGAAATTCTGACTCTTCACCACCGAGGCATAAAAGACGAAGAGATTTTAATGCATCCCCAACCAGACGAAAAGATCGTAAAGATTCAGATTTTCGCTCACCTAGAAGAAGACACGAAAATAATTCGGATTCATATTCATCATCGAGAAACAAAAAAAACAATTCCTACAAATCCGTCGATGATAGAAATTTTTCATCCCCCAAAAACCGCGATAAAAACGTGGATAATCGAAATGATAAGTTAAATTTAAAAGAAGACAATAATCGTTTATTAAAAAATTCATCAAAAGATGATAGGTACGGGTTAAACGTAAAAGAAAAGGTTAACGTGGAAATAAAAAAAGAAAAAAAAACATTAACGGGAAAAAAAGCGGGTCTACAAAGCGCGGAAGAAATGAGAAAAGAAGCCGTCATACTCCGGCAAAAAGAAAAAGAAATGTTTGAAAAGGTAATTTTTTGTCTTACTTAACTTATTTATTTATTTTCTTTCAACTTTATGTTTATAATAATAATAATAATAATAAATGTTTTTAAGATGTCGGACGATGTTACCGGGAAAGACGCAGAAGCGATCGTGAGAAATCGTAAAACAGGACGACGTCACGACGCCAAAGAAGAAGCGAGAAAAAAAAGGGAAAAAGAAGAAAAAGAAGCCGAAAGGATCGCACAATATGCCGTTTGGGGTAAAGGGTAAGTTATTCTAACATCGGGATTATAGAGGGGGGGGAGGAAGGGTTTAACTTACGAGAATTTTAATTACAGGGTGAAACAAGTCAAAGACAGAGAGGATAAAATAAACGACGACCTATACGAAATGTCTAAACCCCTTGCGAGGTACAAAGACGACAAAGATCTCGACGAAATGTTAAAAAATCAAGAAAGGGATGGGGATCCGATGTTGGAATACATAAAACGTAAGAAGAAAAAAACCGAATCGGGATCGAATGCGAAACCCGAATACCAGGGTCTATATTTACCCAACAGATACGATATCAAACCGGGTCACAAATGGGACGGGGTCGATAGGTCAAACGGTTACGAGAAAAAATGGTTCGAAGAACAAAGTGCTAAAAAAGCGCGGGAAGAAGAAGCGTTTAAATGGAGTACGGCGGACATGTAAAAAATAATAATAATAATAAATTTCTGTATATATTTGTGCGCGCGTGTGTGTGTATTATATGTAAAATAAAAATTTAAAAAACAAAATAATAATAATAATGATAATAAATATGAAAAGTAAAAAAAAAAAAAAAATGTAAACGAGCCTACAAAAAAAAAAAAACAATAAATATTTTTATTTAGTGCCAAATAATAATAATAATAAAATCCTCCTTGTCTAGTTATTCCATCGCTGAAAATCGCTTCAACTAAATCCAGATTGTGTCTGGCACGCAGAGAAACTTTTTTTTTTTTTTCTCTTTTTTTTTCTTTTTTTTTTTTTGTATTTTCTATTCAGTTCAGTTTGTGTTTTGTGACGGGGGGCACCGGGAGGTGATTTAAAAAAAAACAAAAAACAAAAAACAAAAAAAATAAAAAACGGTTTTTCGGGAAAAAAGTTCGATCGGTCCCGGGAAACGAAAAACGATTTTTTTTTAGTTTTCTTTTAATTAAAAAAAATTTTTTTTTTTTTAAACAATAATAATAATAATAATAATAATTTGTTTGAAAATCGTGTCAATTATCGATTTTTTTTTTTTTTTAAACCATTTAACGGTAAAAGTTTATTAATAATAATAATAATTATTATTATCGATTTTTATTTATTTACTTTGAAAGGGGTTTTAAATTAAAAATAAATATTTTGTGTCCTACTATTATTATTATTATTTATTTATTTATTTATTTTTTTACTTGTTGCTTGTTTGAAAAAAAAAAAAAAATTTTTTTCCAATATGTCGGCCGGGTTTTTTTTTTTTTTAAAATAAATAAAGAGGGAAGATTCGAAAAAATGTTTTTTAATAACCTTGACACGTTACCGGAAATCTAAAAATAAATTTAAAAAAAAAAAAAAAAATTTCCTCCCATTTAAAAAATTATTATTATTATTATTATTATTATTATTATTATTTGATTTAAATAAATTTTATAAAAAGAATTAAAATTTTTTTTGGGTTTTTTTTGTGGTGATGATGATGATGATGATAATGGACGTAAGCCAAAAAATTGAACGTATTCGTAATAAGCACGCGATTTTTTTTTTATATTAGGCGCTAACGCCCTTTTTTCGCCGCTATCATCATCATCATCATCATCATTATTATTATTATTAATAGTCTTTACGCAAACAAAAACCGCCGGATATCGTTAAATTTAAAAAAAAAGAAAAAAAAAAAAAAAGGAAAAAATATTACGATTGAAATTTTTTTTTTTTAAACGCGTGGCAGTAGAAACGTCGCGATTGTCGTCGTTGTTGTTGTTTGTTGTTTGTTGTTATTAATTAACTTAACGATAAACCAAATATCAGACAAACACACACAATAAAAAAAAATTTTTTTTTTCTATTACACATCGTCACGTTTTTTTTTTTTTTATTTAAAAAATCCGTCGTGTCGCTGAAACTTCCGGCATTTTGTTTTCTTTGGTTTTATTTAAAAAATTTTAAAGAAATTAAATTTTTTTTTTTTTTAGATTAAAATATACGTCATCGATTACGTCATCGAGTGAATATATATATTTATATATATAAATATTTTATTTGTATATTTTTAGAACGTGAAAAATTGTTTGGTTTTCGAGTTTTTGAGAGTTTTTTTTTTTTTTAAATTTGAAAAAAATGGGATGTAACACGAGTAAAGATCCGACATTATTAGGTGTTGAAAATATAGGAACCGGAAATACAAATAAAAATTTTAATAATGAATTAAACATTGTCGAAGAATCGGATAATAATTTGGACTTTAATACCACACCACAACAACTCAAAATAAAAATTTAAATATGGAAAATAACGATTGTAATAAGTATCAGATGATAAAAATGATCAAATTATTAACGATGGAATGGAAAAATTAATTAATAATAATGGTAATGATGATGATAATGATGATGTTTCAACGAAAACAATTAAAAGTAAGCAAAAAAAAAAAAAAAAATTCATGCGTTTGTTTTGTTTTTTCTTGTTTTCTTTAACATTTTTTTTCCCTATTTTTTAAACCAATTTTTATAGATTTAACATTTGCTCTATCGACGAAACGATAATTTTTAATTTTGTTTAATAATAATAATAATAATAACTAATTTTCGCTTATTTAAAAAAAAAAAAAAAAAAAAAAAAAAAAAAAAAAAGTTTAAGAAAATTTGATGTGAGTTTTTATTAGTTTGATTTTTCACTCACAGATGTCAGACCTGTACCGTATGATTTTCCACCATAAAAAAAAAAATTTTTTTTAAAAATAATATTATTATTATTATTTAACGAAAGCCCCCCACCCCTCTCTCTCCCCTCCAAAAAGAGGGGAAAAAATTGAAATTACGAAAATATAAAATAAATATTAAGGGGTATTTTGTAAACTATTAATTTAACCCTGAACTATTTTCTTTTTTTTTTAAATGTTCAAATATTATTTTTCCATAGAGTAAGAAAATCCATATAGAAAAATGGGTGGATCGAAATGTAAAAAGTTTTTTTTTTTTTTTTTTTTCAAGACATTAACCTAATTTTAAAAAATTACCAAGAGAATTTATTTTTATCATTATTACTATTATTATTATTCTACGATTTGATTCTTTTTTTTTTTTTTTTTGTTCTTTTGTAATGATAATAATGATGATGATTTGCATTCGAATTGTTTCTTCTATTCGCGAGGGAGGGAGGGGAGGGGGAGAAAGAAAAAGAAACAAAAAAAAAAAAATTTATTCTTTTTAAATTGGATGAATGTGTTGATATGTTTTTAAATTCGTAAAAAAAAAAAATATTTTTTTTTTGTTATCATTATTTTTCGTTATCGATAAGAAACCGAAACAAAACAAAAAAAATGTTTTTTGAATTTTTGTTTTGAAACAAAACAAACAAACAAACAAAAATTTTTTTTTTATGGGTTACATGTTAAAAAGCAATTACCACGCAAATTCCGGTTTTTTCTTTTTTTTTTCTTTTTTGAAAATTCATAACAAAATTAATTTATCGTTTTCGTTTTTTTTTTAAAAACGAATTATTAGGTCAAAGGTTAAAAATTAAAACAAATATTTTTTTCTTTTCTTTTTCTTAATAATAATAATAATAATAACGAAAATAGAAATAATTGCATTTGATTTTTTTTTTTTATTTAAAAAAAAAAATTGTTTTTAATTTCCGGTTTATTTTTTTTTATTTTTTTTTTCTCGTCTGGCTGAGAATCAAAAAATTTTTTTTTTTTTTTTCTTATTCTAATTCCACGTTCATTATCATCTAAAATTTATTTATTTATTCATTTATTTTTCGCCACCATTTTTTTTTCTTTCTTTTTTCTAATGCCAAGTTTTGTATATTTTTTGACGTTTTCATTTTTTTTTCTTATTTCCTTCCTTTCTTTCTTTTTTATTTTCCTTTTTCTTACTTTTTCTTTTTCTCTCATATATTTTTTTATGTCTGGTTTTAATGTCACAATAACATAATAATAATAATAATAATATTTATTATTTGTTTATTTATTTATTTATCAACGAAAATAATTAAAACACGAGGTTTCATCATTTTCACGTTAATTACTTCCCTCCTTCTCACTCTCTCTCTCCCTTTACCCCCTCACCAACACCATTCCCATTTTGTTATGTAAATGATTAACGTATAAATAATAATAATAATAATAATAATAATAATAATAAATATAAAATACTATGAATAATTAGTCATATCATTTTTAGTTTATTATAAATAAATCTTCGTATGAATATATATTTATATATTTATATATTTTATAATCTTATTTATTTACTACATTATTATTATTATTATTATACATCATCATCATCATCATCTTAAGTTTTTATTTCTTTATTTCCCATTAAACATTTCTCAACGTTATTAATAATAATAATATTAATGATAATAAAAATAATAATAAAAAGAAAAGAATAAAATGGTTTAATCGCACAGAAAAAAAAAACATTATTATTATTATCATCACACACATACGATTTTCACTGTCGGAAAAACATTGGAAAAAGAAAGAAAAAGAAAAGAAAAGAAAGAAAAGAAAGAAAAAAAAAGAAAAAATTATGGAACATATCATTAAAAGGGGAATTTTTTTTGTGTCGGAAAATGCGCAGGCGTTTCGTGTCCCAGGCTCTACCATTCCATCTTTTCAGTTTTCTCGCGAACGGTCAACGTGTAAAAAGGTTTTTCCCGAGTTTAAAACATTTAAGAAAATTTTTTTTGTTTTTTTTTTGATTGTATTACTATTATCATCATCATCATTATTATTAAATAAATATATATATTAAAGTCGTGAAAAAATCAAAAATAAATAAATTAATAAAATTTAAATACGTGAGTACATTTTTTTATATTATTTTATTTCATTTATAACGTTATTGAATTTTCTTAATTTTCCCGCGCTTATTTTTTATATTTTTATTTAAATAAAAAAAAAAAAATTAATAACATTTTAATAATTTATTATACGTAATTGCGTACGAAATCCCCCCACTTTTTTTTATTATTTTTTTTTCGTTAAAAAAAAGTTTAAAAAAAATAAATAAAAAAATTTTTTTTTTTTATCGACGTACATAAATTATAATTATTATTATTATTATTATTAAACATCGTAAAACGATTTGAAATTTGCATATACATAATAATAATAATAATAATAATAATAATAATAATAAATAACGGTGGTAATTATTAATAAATAAATAAGTATCTCAAAAAAAATTAAAAATAGAAAAATGTTAATAATAATTTAAAAAAATTTTTTTTTTTCGTTTCGCATAATAATAATAATAATAATAATAATTTAAATTTAATTACGTTTGTCGTATTTTCCACTTATTAAAATAATTAAAATTAAAATTAAAAAACGTCGTCTGCTTTATTTATTATACTCGATTACGTGTAAAAAAAAAAAAAAAGAAAAAAACGTTTTCGGTTAAAATTAAAATAATTTTTTTTTATTATTATTAATTATCATTATCATTATT